GGTAAGGGAGAGAAACAGAGAAGGGAGGAGAGAGACAGGAGCGGGGGAGGAGAGGAAGAGAAAGCTCTTGTTCTGTGCACTGATTACTAATGTGGTGGAAATCTCAGCAGGTTCTGTGGGGAAGCATTTATTGTGCATGAGAAAGCAGGCAGTGTATTAAAGGAGCTGTCCCCAGGCTCCTGCAGCCAGCTAGAGGGAAGGGGCCAGGAAGGACAGGGCTGGCCAGGCTTTGGAGGCTGGCCCCGAAGCACCAAGGTGGAGAGGACAGAGGGCCTGAAATCTTGGCTCTGCCCTGGTCCCTGGTCACCCTAGGCCCTCTCACAAGGGGACAAGGCTCTTCTGCTCCCCAGGGGGCATTTCTCCCACTCAAGTCACAGACTCCTTCCTTGGGTGGGTGGTGGTGTTGACATGGTCCCTGGGGCCCTTTCTCTGCCTTGCCGTGGAGGGAGGGGGCGGGGCGGCTGCATCCCACCCAGTCTTGGCATCAAAAGATGCCAAGAAGCTTCCGGGAGTTCCTGTCCTCGAGGGAGGGGCCGTTCCTGGACGGTGGTGGGTCTGGGCAGTGTGCAGATGTCACGAGCGAGTGGGCCTGCCCCCGGAACTGTGCCCCGTCTGCACCAAGGGGAGCAGGGCAGCCCCCCCCACACACACAGTGGGGGGGCAGATGTTCCCAGAGTGTCATGGGGGAGGCCCTGAGACTCAGTAGCTGGCCTCATCTTTAAGCCCTATCTTCTCATGTCTTTGTCAAGAAAACAAAAGGACATGAGGCATCTCAGAGTCCCAGACTGTACCTTGGGGATCATCTAAACCAACCCTGTCATGGCCCAGAGAAGAGGAACAGAGAAGCGCCTTGCCTGAGGCCACACAGCAGGGGAAGCTTCCTGCGGGGACCCTTCTCACCGGTGCTCCAGTCTCCTTGGTGCTCCCAGCACGAGCGCTTAGGTGACCTGACCTTACCACTGCCCTCTGGGAGCTGCTCAGTCCCTGCTCCTTAAGCCCCGGCCCTGAGGGCTTTCCTGCTGTCACTCCTCCCCCAGCTCCTGTCTCCCTTCTTCCTCCGCTTCACTTCCCCATTTCCACTCATCACCCTCTCCAAGCTACCGGGTTCTTCCCCCTTAAAAGGTTACACTGGCTCTGATCACTGTCACCTTCCAGCTGGTGAATCACACTTTGTTTCTTTCCTTCCCTGTGCTTTTAGCATCTCGAACAGGGACACAAGGGGGGTAGGGGGGTTTGAGCTCCTTGCAGAAGGACCCATGGCACCCCGGGTGAAATCCCGCAGGACCTTCATGCTCAGAACGGTGCTACCTCCCACCCCTCCCACCACCCGGCACTGGCTGCTCCCCTCGGGCCTCCCCTGTGGATTCACTTGTCCTGCTTGCTTCTTTCTGTGCAGAGCCCGGTGGTTCCTTCGCTTCTTATGCTGCATCTGCCTGCTGGTCATGAAGGCCGGGGCTCAACCGTCACCACCTCTGAGAGGCCCTCCTTGACTACATTTTCTTTCTTTTCTAAATTTATTGAGAGAGAGAGAAAGAGAAAGAGAGAGAGAGAGAGCAAGTGAGGGAGGGGCAGAGAGAGAGTTGGGGGAGAGAGAGAATCCTAAGCAGGCTCCCCACCGTCAGCGCAGAGCCCAATGTGGGGCTCGAACCCATGAACTGTGAGATCATGACCTGGGCCAAAGTCTGATGCTTAACTGAG